GCAACCAATAACAATTCCTAAAATCATTATTTTTCCTATAACCAATAGCAACAATTTAAAAACAAAAATGTCCATCGTAAATCTCAAAATCCCTGTTTGTTTGAGTACATCCCCGGTTTGGGCCCACCGTGTCCAATTGTAAATACAAACCATTTAAGAACTCACTCAAGGACACGCAAAAAAATTCATCAAAATCGGTACATCAGCCGTTTAGGAGAAGTTTAAATACTAAGTACACACGGACAGAAGACATAAATATATTACTATATAATATAATAAAGAATTTGACCACGAAAACATGTGTTGGTAATGACTTTGCTAATAATATACCATATACCTAGTCCATATTCAAAAAATCAATCATTATCCATGATAAATTGTGTACGGCTTTATTCAAAACATAGGTATAAAATATAATTTTACATATTATTTTATGGATTCATCATAATATTATACGAGGAATATATTGACGAGTTCGATGAATGTATATTATAATATCATAATTTTTATTGAAATTATTTATGGTTTTTAAATATTATAATCTTTTTAATGTTTTAAACATTAATCGTCGGTTAGTCATGAACGAGTATTATAGGATTTTCGATGCCCGACATCGACATAATAATATAATGGCGTCGATGTAGATCTCGGAACAGAACGTACGTCCATAATTATATCATATTATAATATATACTTAATGACGTGTCTTTGGCGCAGTGATCCGACGACATAATATTATTATTAATGGGCACAAGTCGCTGTTTCCTGTGTCTGATAGAAGGCGCCGTGTGCGGCTTTAACTAGACTCTCTCGAATTTTTTTCGTCTTGAGATAATACGGAAAAAAATTGTCGGCGTTTTCGCGCAAAGTGAATAAGTATCGCTAGAACACGCGACACCATTAGTGCTATATAATGTTTTGTAATATTAGCACAACGCACCTTAATATTGCGCAAAGCGTTTTGTCTAACGAAAAACAAATATAATATATTATAACATAATATTATTATACATAAACGGGACGCGGCGCGCGACGTAAAAACAAACCGTGCCAAACGATAATAATTTACACCGTGTACACACCGCGTTAGACCACCCCGGATTAAAATCCGGACGAGAGACTATATTATTATTATAATAAAGAGCATTTAAAAATTCGCTCGTACAGGAGTTAAAAGGTTTTTATTACGAGTGTAAAATAATAATAACGACGACGATAATAATATTATTATACAAACGTGTCCGCTGGTATAAATCTAAATGTTTATTGTATACGATATTATAATACAGGGTGATTCACCGAGTATGGTCTACACGGTTGTTTTTTTTTTTATTATTCAAGTTATTATTATCATATTATTTTATTCAAATTTTTGAATTTTTTGGTACTAGGTTAGGTATACAAGTGTCCTGTGGTGATAACATATAACTATTAGACCACCCCTCCCTGTTTTACTGTACATTTTTTCAGTAGACGATTTTTGAAAAGCTCTATGAACTTAATTCAACATCCGAACGAGAAGCTTCTCAGTTATTAAAATGTGTATACCGAAGACAATAGTCCTTCAAAATGGCTTTACAAAAATATGAAATAGATGTACCAAGTATTGGAATTAATATATTGGAAATATTAGTTATTGACTATTGTTATACTTGAACCAATTTTACAAATTAATTAAGTAATAATATTTATCAGTAAAATGTTCAAATAACCACAGTCTCCATATTATGTTTCGAATCAATTACCCTTATTAGTAAGTACACAAAGTTAATTAATAACTCATATACAAAGTTAAATAATTCAACAACTACTCGTTTGAGTTTTGATGTTGATACATAAATATTTTCATAAAAATTATCCGTTAAATAATTTACAGTAGAAAAGTGAGGTTCTCATTTTAAAAAAAGTGGGTAAGTGGATGTCGCTCTGATGTACAGTAAGTTACAAGTGGGTGATTGTATTAAACTTGAATTCAATGATATAATATCATTGTATAAGAAAAACGATTCTGAGCGGAGACGGTTTGTCAGTCTGGATATTTTATATTGTTATTATTTATTATATCATGTAAGTTAAATATTAATATTATAATATTATTTTTTTTTATTCGTTTCTATGGTGATAAACAAAGCGTTAGAAATTAAAATCCCATTTTTAGCGGTTTTTCGTAATTTTTCGGTGGTTTTTCTTGTGGCATTAAATAACTATTGGTAAAATCGAAAAATGACCTCTTTAAAGTACCATCTTGATCCAGTTTGCTAAAAGATAAGGTACTATATGTTGAAATCGAAGTACTTCTTTTGGCAGAAATTTTGTATACAATATAAAAAAAAAAATAAATAAATAAACACCATGGTAGAACCACTAACTTCCTCGCTCCTCTCAGAATCTAAAAAAAAAAAACAGAAGTTAGTATCTTGACAGGACACTTCTCAAATAATATAGATATTATCAATAGTCTGAAAATATGTAGATTTAAAATTACCGAAAATCAAATAATTGCATTATTGAAGGAAAAAAAGAGGTGAGCTTGGCTCAACGTTTTATTATTATATTATTATTATTATTATTATTATTATTATTATTATTATTATTATTATGTATACTACGTAAGTTTATAAAACCCGGGTAGGTTACCGTTGCCCATATAGTACAATAAACATAATATATAATATAATATACACATCGCACATAATATAATATATTATTATGACTCGCGTATACAGTTGTGTGCACCTCTCGTATTCGGTAGGCATTTTTTTACGACGTCGTTAAACCTCAAGTATTTGTCACAGTACAATAATAATGTATGCGAGTGATACACGAGAAACGAAAGTGTGCACCCACCATAGGTATAGGTAAGTACTGCGCTTTTCATTTTGACGAGACCCTTATTGCCGGTAAGGACACTCCGGACGCTAAAAACGAGCGCGACGCAAATTGTGTTTTCCAACACTGGCACGGGCCACTTGGTTATTCGAGTCGACTCCTGCAGTTTCTTAACCTTTTAACCCTTTATCATATCATATATTAAATGTGTGTTTCCCGTACAATATAAGTATAGAGGCGACGAAGTGACGGAGGACCCGAGTCTTGCGCGTGTGGCCCGTGCACGGGGTCTGAAAAATATAACAATAATATTAAACAGATTAAATTCTACCTTCAGCATCGGCACGTGAAACGTTCACGTCGTCGACTTATTTTACCAGCCTTTTTAACCACTCGTTCCCGGTCAACCGACGGTTTTTTTGACATGCTTTATTTTTAAGTAACTGCAGGATTAGTAAATCTACGACGGCATACGTTTATTTAGGTAAATACCAACTCAGGGCGTTATAAACCGGAATGAGCAACCGACAAATACAAATTATTAATCAAATGCTTTGAACGCATTAAAAAAATAATATTTTGGGAATAAAGATGGGCCTCTAAAATCAATGGGCCCAGTGACCGCTTCTGCACTCCCCTCAATCCGGGGTTGCCTATGTGATTCTACAATACATTTTAGATTTTAGAAAATAGAGCTAGAAAATTTCGACATAAATTACTTAACTCTGACTCCGGGACGATTGACTGTCCTGAAACAATTTATCGGGGCAACGACATGTTATATATTCAAAACCGGAGCAGTCCCGGCCGAGTATTTACGAACCGTAACTGAATTCGGCCAATGCACTTGCAGGTGGCACAACTTTCTTTACAAAGTAGTTATTATATTATATTAATTGACAATTTTTTGACGAGAAATCGGCCAAGGTTTTAATCAACACTATTTAGTGGTAATTTTTTGCAGCTGCTTGTGTCTAGCAAAGTATTCAACAAACTCATTTTTTACCAATATGGGATGTATGGTGATCCTAGGTCCTAGACTATAGGCCCTTCGACCTCTCTGACTTTTCAACTCGTTTAGTCATTTGGTCGTTTGGATTTTTTATTTTTCTCTCCGATCAGTTAGGATTTTTAGTAACTGCAGCTATTGTTTTCTTTAATATTAGTTTAATTTGCATAGCTATTTGTAAATTATACACTAATAATTTGATTCAATGAAAAATTATTATTATGTTTTTTATCACCTGTTAAGAACTATAGGGTACCTATATAAATTGTAATAATAGTGGTTTCTAAAAATACTAACCGTTTTACTGGCTGTTAAGTCGGCTGCAGATTGGATAAAAATATAACAAATTCCAAACAGGTTAGATACCCCATTGTACTGGACGACCTATACTATGTTGGACCTACAGTTTTTTCACGAAAATTGGTTAGGATTTCTCATACATTTGATGACATAAATATGATACAATATAATATATTAGTATATTACCTATACTTTTACATATTACACTACATGATGATTCAAAACAACATATTAGAATACTATTATATTTTTTAAATATATTTATTTAAATTTTTCGTACCTATTATTATTTACTTTTTAAATGACTGCATACATTTTTAATTTTAAGCGGAATTTTTTTTCAAGAATTTTTATGAATCTAAATTGTGTTTTACAAGTGTATCATTATGAGTATTACATTTTTATACAAACAAAGTGGAATAATGGCTCAGGTAAATCGTGACAAATGCTGTTCCACTATTCTTATAACCATGTAATTATTAACAACCTACTCGTTTGAAATTTGAGTGTATTCAAATATTTTCAGAAAAATGTCTGCATATGAATGTAATATTACAAAAACATACTGTAATATTAAAAAAAATAAAACTTAGGTAATAATAATAACGAAAAAAATATAACTTTTTTTAATCAAAATTGTTGTAATGCAATCCATTTTATATATTTAAAAAAATATTATGACAAAACGCTATGCACGAGTGCATATTATTATTGTACATTAAAATATACGTTTACAGAAAGTATGCATAATGGTTATAACAAGATATCAGCTACAGGTTATAACGAGTAAAATAATAATTAGATTTTCAACCTCCGGGTTACTACGAGCAAATCGCTATCATTAGGCCATTATTTATTTGGAATGGATGAACAAATAATCAAAGATGTCATGTCCAGCTATCAAATTGAGCCAGATAACGATAGTGATGAGCTTGATGACTATTTTGGACCTGTACCATCAATATCCAATGATCGTGCTGCATCGAGGATTCTTGAAAAATTTTATTACACAAAATATGAAGGAACAGAGTATGAAAGGAAGGCGTTGTTTTTAATAAACTTCGACTAACGCTAAAAATTCCACAAAGAAAAGATTATTTTAAGAAATTAAATTCAAGCGTATAAAAATATAATAATTAATTTTATTTAAGAGGATGTCAGTGCACTATTTGTTTTAATTCTATAATGAATTCACCTATTATCAAACTTTAAGTTAAGAACGTTTCATATAATGTCTTTTATGACATTTTAATTATAATGTAAGTTATGAGCGTGTAAATTATTACGATTTAAAAATTCTTATACATTTTATAAAAATTAAAAAATTGTAAAAACCATCTAGCCAGTGTAAAGATACTGGTAATGTTCTTAGCTTAAATTTTGAATATAGGTGAATTCACTCTTATATTAAAAGTAACAACACAGCGAGTTGATTCTTCTAAACATAAATTTGCTATGTTAGCATATTGTGCGTGGGTCAGAGAGAGAAAGCAAATGGTGCTGACATCCACTTAACTAATATTATGTATTCATAAATACAGTATTAATCTAGATTATAAGTAAAATAAAATCGTCTGTATTTTTGTTTTCCCGCTTCTTATTGGTTACAAAGAACACTCTTTGGATTTGTAACTAACGAGCTACCGGTTACAATGAAAAAAACTCGCTGGCCATTGAAACTTGTAACAGATTTCTACTGTATTTCCAAAAAGCTTCAAGATACTATTATGATAGTGTTTACTTTTAATAGAATCTAAATGAATAAACAGGCAAACAGCATCAAACACGTTATAATCACTGTCTAAAATGTATAATTTGTCTTGTCATCGTCAGTAGAACGAAGACCTTAAGAAATGGAAACAACTATTGAAAACATAATATGGTATATTGCTATTAAGACATTTAAAAAAATAATTTATAACCAAACCTATTATACTTCAATACTGCACTATTCGAGAAATTACCATCAGCGAAAAAACACGTAATAGGTTAATAACACTAGTTATGTGGCACTTTAAACGATTTTATTTTATATTTTTATCTCTTAAAGGTTTCTACAGCAATTTAAAATATGATTATCTCGTTTTTAGATTAACTGTAAATGGTTAAATTCCGTGCATTGTATTTATTAAAATATATATATATATATATATATATACATATATATATATAGGTACCCGTAGGTACCTATTATACAACTACATTTTCGTTATTATTATTATTTTTTTTTTGCAGACACGTTTTTGGGAGCGATTGAACAGTTTTTAATGTAGCACTTCAAAAGATCGGAAATCGAGTCACTATATAATATTACCTATATGTTACTTTGAAGAGGTAATTTTTCGATTTCCTAAATAGTTGCTTCTATAGGAAAAACTACATCAACGTAGAACGAATGTTTTTGAAAAAAATTCGACAAGCACGGACTTAACCGAATTCCGTTCAAAATCGTTTTGGGAATGTGCAAGTCGTTGTCATCATTTCCGAATCTAATAATATACATAGGTACTTACCATAAAATGTACACTTTACGATGGTTGGAACCAGTACCCAACAACCGTCTATATCCCGATCATAATATATTATTATTAAAATTAAATATATTTGATTTTTTCCAATTAAATTATAAAATTGCTCGTCTACATTCTGAACACTCGTCATGGGCCTAATCTTTTATCATGATATATAAATAATTATGATATTATTTGCATTTTTAATTTTTCCATTAAATGACAGTTGTTTTTTTTCCAATCGTTATTATATATGTATAATAATAATAATTGTTATTATTTATGACGAGTGCGAATGGAAAATAAAATTAATGCCATTTTTATCTTTTAAATTTGTATTTACAACTACCGTAACCCAACGTTGCATGATTGCTCGTAGTGTGCACGCTGTTACATATCCAATGCAAACCACGGTACTTCGTTGGTCGACGGGAAGATGCATCTTTGTAGAAGAGGAAAGATTTTTACGTGTAATGAAATAACATGTCCTTTCATCCGTGTGCGTTGACGTTGATTGCGAATCCGTTTTTGTGCTTGGCCAAACGCCGGTCTAGTTTGTCTCGTTTTTTGCACGACGACCTTATCTTTTTGTTCGGTTGCACTTTGTGTACGTGATTTACAGGGTTGGACATTTTTATTTTTTTAAATTTTATTCGCATCAAAAACCAAATCTTCTATTGAATTCGGCCAGCTATAACTGGACAAATATTCCAAACACCAGAAATACCTACAATAATGTTATAAATAAAAAAGAAATTATGATTTTACAATGAAATTAAAAATAAGTTGCAGTCGGTCGTACTAATTTACTGATTTAGAGGTGAAATATTTCTGCAGTTTAAATATCATGCTTTAAGAATAAAATATGGGAAAAATTATTTTACATTTTTTAATGAATCGAATGATTTTAATAAACCATAGGTCATACTACAATACAACAAACACTAAACAATAGGATATAATAATATAATATTATAATAATTAATAATGTAACACATGCGATGTGTTTGGAAAAAAATAGTTCGACGTTCAGTATTTCTAATAGAAAAATAGAAAATAAATAATAAGATCAATATGAATATAATATAAAGGATTGATAGAAATAGGGGCTGACACACAGTCTCCGATCATAATCGTTGTTCGCAAGTAAAGGTTGGTCGTAAAATTCAAACTTGACACATTAATAATTGCAATGACCTACTAAATTATGAGGTTTACTCGAAACTATCAATACATCAAACTGACTTCCTCGTTTTTTCATTTAAACCATTTCCTAATGATCAATAGTATAATATTATGTTTTTGCAATACATTTTACATACGCCCTCTATTTTAAAGTACCTCTATAATATAATCACTTTAAGGGCGTCACTATTTGTATATGAGAAGATCGAACAGCGTTGATTATTTCTCTTAAGAAACGTATAATTAAGTTTTCTAGTTTTGAAGCTATTATTTAATCGCGAATGGCATACGCAACTTCTTCCACTTCCATTTCCATGAGTATAGGGGATCCATTTAATTTGATACGATTGCTAAGTGCCAACTAGTAAACAATTTATACTCACGTACATAATTCGTACCTCAATATTAACGGAATGATAACGTTTTTCCCCATCGAAAACCGAACGACGCAATACTGCAATAGTATCATACTTTTTACGACAGAAATATTATTTTGATATCGGTCGTCGTAAGATTGACGCCATTAGTCGTATGACAATTTATTAATGTAGATTCAATCGATAAATGGACATGACAAGTTAAGTTGGAATTTCAAACTGTTATTTATCAATTTTAATCCAAATTATTTAAAATAATAAAATTTTTGGTTATATCCATGTCATGAATTTTGATAGAGCTAAGGTATTTTCTACCTACCTTTATGTCTATATACCATTGAATGTTTGTTTAGTTTAGTGTGTGGGAGGTCGTGAGTAGATATTTTTTCCATAATCTTTTAAAACCGGCTAAAACCCACAACATTTCAAGTGTTTTTATTGGATAGTTTGTGGTGTCCTAAAATAACAAAAAACACCTTAAAATAAATATCATGTGTGCTTATGGCGTTTTCACCCTACGAATTTAATCGTACTTCAAAAATTCAGGAATCATCTGATATCGTAATTGTTATTATTATTATTATTATTATTATTATTATTAATAATAATTTAAATGTATAGTGCACAATGCACCTGCGACCTGCTACGACTAAAGTACTTAAATATTATGTTTTCAATACTTTAAAATCATAATAAAAATAATATTAATTCAGAAATATAAGTTTCTACGTCCTGTATATTTTAGAGTAAAAAAAATAAAAAAGATACCCGATCCGAGTTTTTTATGCTTGTTTCGTCTCCCTCATTTCGATTGAGAATTTAAATTTGAGTTACAGAATTTAGTAGAATTTGTTTCCTGTTTAAGTTGATGCTACCCATGCATTTATTGTCTCCGTCTTACACACGTATGACACAGACAATTTTCGTTCTCTAGTTTATAGTGTATAGTTAGTTTTGATATTAGAATTAATAAATTGAACTATTGGCTATTATACAATTTTTAGATAAGAACATTGTATGTTGTATAAGTGTCGGTTTTTATTCGATATTTCAATTTTCAGGCGAGATATGAATATTTCTAATTTTTGTTATTCCATATGACCATATCTTGATTGGAAATGAAAATATCAAAAAATCACTGACGCCTAAGTACAGATAATGTTCTTACATAAATATTTGATAGTAGGTTAATTCACTCTAATATCAAAACTAACAGTAAACTATTGAAACTAGTGAACCAACATTTGTTATGTAGTATTTGTGTAAGATGGAGAGTGGAGACAACAAATGCATGGGAAGCATCATCTTAAAACTCAATATAAATACTTATCATCAACATTTAAATAATATTATTGTAGATTTAATGTCAGACTCTTGTCCATTAATTTACCAATTTTTAGATTTTTCCGGAATAAAGCGGACGATTCAATGTTTCACTGTTCTTCAACCACAATATAATAATATATTCACCGATCAATTATGCGCATGTGTGCGTAAAGTGCTTCTCAAAAATAACTCATAATTTTAAAGCCAATGAGACGTGTTCCTAGTTCGTACAGAAAATCTATAATAAGCCCAGTGCCGCAACTACCGAGTGTGCAAGGTGTGCATTGCACATCGGCCCCCAAGACCCCAATCCGATAGACGCCCCCAAATCGATGTCTTAAAATTAATTGTAAAGCTGTAGCTGAAGAAAATTAAACTAAAATTAAGAGTAAAAAAAAAAAAATGTGTTCATATTATTAAATATTTATAATTTATTGTAATCAAATTAAACTCAAGTGATTCAAAACATTGTTGCGCAATTCTATAAGTCAAAATCGTCTCAGTGACATTTCCATACTGAACATAGAATGGAGAAGAACTTCAGAGATAGATGTAGAGAAAGTCATTGAGAACTTTTCAGACGCAAAAGCGAAGAAAATCAATTTTGTTAGATAATTAATTACAAATGTGTTGAAATTATACTATAATACTATTTTTATAACAATAAATTA